AAGAAATCTGCATATTATTATATTATTCATATACCTATATAAATATTTTTATTTTATTTTATTTTACTTTAGTATAATAAATGGGTTAAAACCCTTTCGTAAAAATGTATATTATACCTAATTACAGTAGTTACAATAATACTTGTAATGGATTAGTAAATCAAATTAACATTTTTTAAAAACTACGATAAATATAGTAAAATTAAATCATTAAGCTGGAATATATTGACAAACTTATATATATGGTATAATTAAAGTTTGATAGAGAAATCCAAATTGGCCATTAAAATAAAACGCCTAATACGCTTAATTTTCATTTAATGGCTCGAACATATTATATGGTCATAAAAAGGAACAGTAGAAAGGAATTGACGAGGAAGGACTTTAAAATTAATTAAGTATAGTAAATATTGACCATATACAAATGGATGCATAACGGTTATTAATATAATATAAATAGTTAATATATATGTCAACGTATGTTGAGTAGATTGGTGGTAATGATGAATATTAAATTAGGTACCTACTGAGTGTCTAATTACCTAAAATATAAATATTTTATTATTTTAAAAACTGAAAATCTCATAATAAAATGTATAAAGTTCAGCATCTGTAAGCCACATTTTCTATGATTCAACTTTAAATGAGATTTTCTTTATTGGTTTATAAAAAATTATGAACTCAAAACATATTTTCTAATTTCCATATTATGTAATATATTGCTTAGAGGTTTAGTTTTAGCAAAATATCATTATTATTTAAATTTATTAATTTCAATCATCTAAGTTCATGAAAAATAAAAAATATATTATTATAATTCAACATTAATCATTGAAACCATATCTCCAAAATATAAATTGTTTAGTATATTTAAACACTTATTTTGTGTTAAAAATACTATAATCATTATTTTTGAACCATATGACTTATTGATACTAGAAAATCGATAAATATAAAAAAGTAAATAAATAAAATAAATATAAAAACGTTTAATTAATAGACAGAAATGCTTACAAAATTATATTTATAATGTGTGTTGAATAATGTTTATTCAGCTCATATGTTTATATCAGTTGATGATGAACTATGATTAAAAAATTGCATGTGAATCAATATCGATAAGATTATTGTGTTAAAATTTTTCTACATAAAAATTGGTGAATACTCGAGTTTCGTCTTTTCGACAGTATTTTATAATATTGTACACATTGTCAACATGTCAAAAAATGTTCCTAACTTTTCCTTTTTGTTATTATTCGACACCTGACTTTTTTCCTAAAAGTTTTTGTTTTAAAACATGTCAATTCTGAAAATAAAATTGTTTTTCGCTTATTGTTAGTTCTGTAAGTTTATTGAAAAAAAAAATAATAACAAAAGTCACCTAATAAAATATACTTCAAAGCATTCGACGCACATCACATTATATAATATTCCTGATGTATTATATTTTATAGTGTTACTATTGTTGTTTTATACTTAAACTCATGCGCGCATGTTTTATTAAATTATCCAAAATTAATTTTTGATTCTGAGAAAAACTAGGGTTATCGCGTGTTTTAACAATTATGTTTTTTTTTTATTTATTCATAAGCTATTGTTTTAGTATAAAGCTCATGGCCCTCGCGCTTGCAGTCGTCAAAGCTAAATCTAATTGAAAAAATTCCAAAATAAACTAAACCGTTTACTGATTATAATGTGTTTGATTTCACGTCAAACTTCCCAGTTAAAAGGCTTTTGTAAACATACTCCAAAACGTACCTAATGAGTGTACATTTTAATTCGATTTAAAACATTATTATGCATTGCAGCGATCGCTATATTATTAATGAAAATCCCGTGCAGATAATATATCGTATGGTTGTAAATGAGTGAAGCCGTCACCTGTGACCTATGAAATCGAAATGTATTATACTTGGTACCTAAATCTAATGTACACATATTCATACTAATTATAATAAACGTGTTGATTGTAGTGGACAAGTTATTATTTTTTTTTTTTGTTTATTTATTGATTGTAACTCGTGAGAGGGCAGAGGGTACAGTATCTACATATAATAACATACATAAATAAACTAAAGAACAACTAACAAGTAACATAGTAAGTATTATTGTGGCCACTAATTTTATTTATTTTACTGTAGTTAATAATTAACAAGACGTCGATGTATGAACAATAATAGCACCCAAAAATTATTTTAAGGATTATTTATAAAATTGTTTAGAATTATGACCAAATTACAGTAATTTGACTATAGGTGTATGAAAAATGATCGATTTCAATATTTTAATAGGTAGTAATGTATTCTATCATACTATGAATTGTTTATCTAAAAGTTTTCACAATCAAGTTTCCTATGGAACGTTTACATATCATTATAAAAAATATTGCATCAAACTGTCAAAGTTATTCTAAATATTAAAAACTATTTTAGGTTGTTGGGGTACACCTATCACATCTGCACATTACATTACATTTGTTTTATATTATGAGCTTACATAACCTATAGTTTTATAGTTTTATATGTATAAATTACAAAAGGTTTATATTAATTTACAGTTTTGGAACGATTAATTTATTCACACATACTTCTTGGCTAAGCACACTACTTATATACATTCAATTAATTTGTGTTGAATAATATTTAGTTTTAATGTTTTTTGTTTTTTGTTTTTACAAGAGAAATCTAAAATAAAAAAATATTATTCACTTGGATTTTGTAATGGAGTTCAATATAATCCTTTTATTTTAAAAATATAGTTTCCAATATAATTTTGATGTTATTGTTTCAACACAAATTATGTTACGCTGAAAACAAAATTCTTCTCTAAAAGGGTAAAAATGCCTAAAATTAATTTAAACAATATTGGCTTAACTGTGTACACTACAAATTCAAGAACCACTTGTAATTAAATCTAAAAAATAAATGTTGACAATACACAAAACAAACATCCGTTAGACCTTTCCATTTATTAAACAAACATTGAAAACTTAAATTTAGTTGCACTTGCACATCATATTATTTGACAATTTCAATTTCAAATTCTTTTATCTACATACCTTATCTAAACTGAAACAATACTTACAACCAATGAACTAAGTATAAAGGTTTAAAGACAACACTAGAATATGATAAAAATGAAATATTGAAGTTTATAACGGAGGTTTATGTATACATGAAACGTAATGCTGCTACACACACCACACGGCCTTTCAACTTCCTGTTTAAAATAAAATTAAACGTCAGCAATCAGTTAACCAAATGGGTTAATTCGATATATCACATTAGTATAAATTTTTTTATAATTGATCAAACAGATGGAAAATTTTCCTAATCAAAAATTGTACAAACATTTAATGAATAGTATGATTGCTATTATAAAAAGTCTGTATTCACGTAAAAAAAATAAATAAAATTGTTGGAAATCCGAAAGAAATATTCAAGGATAATGTATTGTATAGTATTCATATACAGTGATACATGTTATGTATATAAATATATATATACCTATGTCCTATATATGTTTACATAAAGATCATATTTTTGCAGTTTATTCAACTTTACGTCTGTTTCTCTAACAAGATACATTTTATTTTATTATTATTATTGTTATTTTTAAAACGAAGCAATTTACTATCTGTACACAAAGGAATAAATCAAATTACCTATAATGTGTACATTACGAATAAAACCACTAACTTTGTGAATACTTCTACACACATATATACGTATACATCAATATTAAAGTAGATTAATTTAAGTCGATAATCACTCACAGTTATACGAAGTTAAGTAAAAGTGATTTTTTGTTAGAATTAAGAATTTAAACAGTGACGCTTCCATCAATAATGTTCGTATAGTAATCAATGTATTATGCATTGCTCGTCTAGTCCTCCTTAAAATATAGCCCCAATGTGTGAAATCATCTCTTAAGTCGTAACTGTTAAAGATGACTGAGAAAGTTGGGTACATATCATCGTATTGCATTCAAATATAATAATTATAACAACTCGTCTTGGTAGGTAAAACGAAGAAATTACGCAAATAAAACTATTTGATACTAATATTTTTCTCTACCATTATTAATCGTGTTCAACAATATGATATATTAATATATAACACAGGATGACATAGGTGCTGTGTGCGCGACACTCTAGACAAGACAGGTGCGTGGTGTTAGACTGCGGGTGTGACTAATGGATTTCCGTGAGCCATTCTCTGCGGACAAGTGGCAGATATTAAACAGAAGCTTCGCAATATACAATGGCAGTGTGCAAGATCAATTTGAGTAGAACAAATATTCGGGGATTCGCTGCACCGTGGCACTATACCACCGGGCTATAGAGCACTTAAAATTCGGCGTGGGACCCTATACTCGCTTAAGGGGATTTCAAAGTGTTTAAACTCACCCCAGACGTTTTCTTGTGCGATTATATATTATAATATAACGTAATATTATTTTTAACGCCAAGCATCTACTAAAAATTAAAATATTCAACGCACCGAAAGCGCGGAAAATACATTTTAATTAGCATGTGTGTAATATAATACATTAAGTGGTTTGATGGAAATTGACTTTCAAAGTTTTAAACGGCCGGAAACCTATATTCGAAATAATATTTGAGTCCGTATGAATCTTATTGTTGTACATATAATATGTTATAATACGCGTTAACGGTTGTCGATAAAATACAATTATACAAATGTTATTTTTTTATACCACCGTCCATACAATTACCGTTCATCCGTATATGGTACTATTATGCAACGTACAAATGCAATCCTCGTAATTATAATATGTATTAATGTATTATAATTAGTATTATAGTATATTTATATGATTGGACCCATAACACTTTGTAATAATAATAATTAAGCTAATGAACAAAAAAAACTCTCATTGTTTTTTTATAATCGCAGGCAAAATAATCTGTGTACATTTTATTTTACATGCCAGGCGTAATATGATACATTTTATTCATATAAGTTAATTGTAATTTGTATTTATATTTTACTATAGCAACGAATTTTGTTAAGTGTGTTTGAATGCTTTCATATTTTGTACCATACAATTAATCAAATAAACGTTTTAAAATTAAAATTAATATAAAACATCAAAAGAAACACATAAAAAAATTACCGAAAAAATCACAACGGTTAATACGTGTTGACTGACAATTAAGGTAGCTGTAGAACACGTAGTATTAATTATTAACATAATAGCAATATTGTTTCTGATATCAACGCATTCGATGACCTATCTTAGATGTCTCAACAAAAGAAATCAACGACATCGGGAATCGTTCAGCGTACTAGTTTAGCTCCAAAAACACCCGTCAAAAGTTCCAAAACAATATTAGTGGATGCCCATTACAAGCTTGGTAAAAAAATCGGAAAAGGAAATTTTGGGGAGGTTCGAATCGGAAAAGACATAAGAAACAACGAAGACGTTGCCATAAAAACAGTATTTTCATGATCACAGATCTATAATAATATTTAGAGAAATTAACAAATTTCTTAACGTTTAATATATTTATAAATTATTAAACAAATGTAAAATTAAAGGTAGTCAGCATTCGAAAAATCTTTAGGTCCTTATTTATGAATCACATCTCTATAAAAAGTGGGAAAATCTTCATTTAGGTTATTATTGTTGTATTATATTATTGTAGTATATTTATACTAGTTCATAATGACATAGGTACTAGAGATGTTTGAACATACAGTTTTTAAACCACTCATTAAATTAACATCAATAGTTTCGCAACTATTTGATCAACAGTCGATAATATTAGAAAGTTAAATTATATAATTAAATTAGTGTACTTGTATTGATAACGAGCACAGTAAGCTGTAGACACATAATAATAATACAAATAATAATATCAATAATTCAATAGATCTTCAATAATAGTAATTATTAATTATATTAGGTATATTATTTCTTGTTATTACTATATCATCAACACGTGTGATAACTGATTAACTGATAACTTAGAATTAGGTGTGTTGTTTCCACTCAGAACTGTATCTCTAACAAGGAACATTTATCATTTTATTTTGGTTTTCTTTAGATCGAACACTAGTTCTACATCCTCGTGTGACCAACTCAGTTTAATGAGGACATGTCAGTTTTTTTTGACATCAAATATTATTAAGAAGTATTATTTATAAGAATTAAATTGATATGATACATAATGTTAAGATACAATATGACACATAATGAAAGTCTATTAATTAGTCTCACGGTGGTATTAAAATAATAAAATAATATGCTGAAATACTCATATAATATGTTAATTTAATGAATTTTAAATCAATTGAAAAATAAAATAACTTGGTGTAATACATAGATTTTTGTACTTTTATTTTAAATTCATTATTTAGAAGTTTTTTCGGGTTTGTATAAACTACGAAGGCATTTAAAATATTATTCTTTAATATCAGTTATGCCTATTTTCTGTATTATAGATGTTAAATCACTTCAAATAGTTCCATATAAAAACTCAAACTAGAACAAAAACACATAATAAGAACAAATAAGTCCATATTTTCGTTAAACATGCACCACGCTAACAGTAAAATCATAACTTCTCTTTGCCATTGATCATAAAAAACCATAACTTGTAAAATTATTTTAAATAACTTATATTAAATCGCATTTTTTTGAAACTGCAATGATATCTGTTCATAAAGTGGATTTTTAAAAGTTAAAGTAAATATTATGCGTAGAATTAAGTTCAATCAAATAAAAAAAAATAAATGCATTTATTATTTTACAAGTATTCTAGAATTAAGTAATAATTTATTTTTTTAAAACTTGTATACTACTTAGGTACTATGAAATCAGAAATAAGTTATAAACCGATAACACTTAATTCTATTATATTTATATTATTATTATCTATCTATGTACTTCTATCAGTTCTATCCTGTGAGTCCATGGAGACTATTTTATATTTGACTATAGTCATTTGATACGTATTAGTAAGGCCAAAACACACTATTTATTTGATAAAACGTTTTTACAATATAATATTTTCTGGCCAAAGAATTATATTTGTATGCCCAGTGCTTAGAGATACCATTTAATTTATTATTTTATTGACAGTTGTAATATTATTATATCTCATAAAATATTTCATAATTTATTTTAAATAACAATGATTACCTGTAGTAGTATATTTATCACAGCTCAAGACGCTCACGTGTTATTTTAATGCACTAATAACCATTTTTTGAGCACCTGCATATTAATTAAAGTACAATGTATTTAATTAGGCAGTATAACGTTACCTATTTATAGACTATAATTCGTAATGTTAAGTTTAGACTGATAAATCACATACCAACCGCGGGAATAGTCATGCTCTTAGAGTATGCTTTCTTTTGTAATTTGATTAAAACCAACATGGTACTTACATGGACGGTGATCTATAAACTATTCAACTATGAATCATCAAATATTCCTAAAAACATGAACTTTAATTCGTTTTTAATATTTTGTTTATCTTCATTATCATCCTTGTAATTAAACCACGCATATTTTTCAATATTTTATAATCATCGATTAGTAAAATAATCATTTTATGTGTTACAGTATAGAAATTAAGAGTTAATTTTTAATATTTGACTCGGGCATCTATAAGGTACCTATTTAAAGGTAGGTACTCAAATGTAAGTACACACACCACCACCATTAAGTTTCACTTAATTTTTCTGTAATCCCTCTCATTTAATAAGAAAAGAGAAGACGTCAGAGCAATATTTGATATCTCTCTCGAACCTTCAGCCACGTTCAATATAGACAAAATGTATTTAATAATATGTAAAGCCGTTTTCTATGATTTTTGAGAAATCTTCGAATGTAAAACACTCTATTACAAAAACTATACAGGGTTATATTATTCTTACGGATTTAACATATTATTGTATTAGTATTTCATTATTATTTGACTTTATATTTGACTTACTTGAAAAAAATTGCAGTTTAAAATGTTTACCTATTAAATTGTTTTGAGGCAATATTAGTTAGACAAATCGATACGCCATACTCTCAACAATATTATTAACTATATAATTTTTGGAATGGGTGATTTTACTATAAAATTACTCAAAACAATAAAATAAAAATTATTTTGGTAAATAGTCACATTTAAATTAAGATGCTTAACATAAAAATTATTTTTTTTTTTTTTTAAAAAACACAAATTAAATTTTTTTTAACTTTTCATTGCAAATAATTATGTTTTGGTACACATATTAAATTTTATACAACGTATGCATCTGCTTAAATTATATTGAATTACTCTTTTTGCAGGAATCAATTACAGCAAAAGTACCACAGCTCATGTTTGAATATAACATTTATAGACAGTTGGGAGCAACGGGTAAGTGAATCGCAATCCAAAAAGTAGTCTGTAAAATTTGAATACAAAGTACTTACAAGATTTTAGATAAAATCTATTTAGTCATATTTTACGAGTTAGCAAATAACATAAATGTATATAGCCGTGAGATTGCTAAATATTATGTACACAATATTTCATTTTAAAAATATTTAATATTTACATGATGTGTTAAATTGTTCCGTCTTTCCAGAACATAACATCTTGTCAGTAGAATATCATATATTTTCATCTCAATAATTTTTAATAGTCAATATTACGAATGTGAAAAATATATTTTTCTCCGAATCTTGATACTATATATTGATATCTTAATACTTTATTATTGTCCAAAATGAAATTCCATTCCAAAAACGATTGAGTATTAGAAACATTTTGATACTTAAACTGGAAATATTATTACGTAGATAAAACGCACAAGATTAAAGGCATTCCAAGAGTTTACTGTTACAAATTAGCTGGAACACAATACAACGCTTTGGTCTTGGAACTGCTGGGTCCGTCTTTGGAAGATTTATTCAACGTTTGTGATAGGAAATTCACTTTGAAAACTGTTCTAATGATCGCTATACACACGGTATTGTTTTCAATAATGTTTACTAAATACGTTTTTAACACTTGCAGCATGACGTAATTTCAACCGATCACTTTATAGTTGCACAGGATAGAAACGGTGCACGAGAGAGGAATAGTGTACAGAGACATCAAGCCAGAAAATTTCGTCGTTGGCCGGAACCAATTGAAAAAAGATAATATCATTTATATAATAGGTGATAAATATTTTTCGTCGATTACGTATTGATTTTACTTTTAAACGGTAAAAAAATTACCAGATTAAATAATAAACAGATTTTGGACTGGCAAAAGAGTATATCGATCACAGAACCAACAAGCATATACCTTACAGGGAGAAAAAAAACCTCACCGGTACAGCTAGATACATGAGTATAAACACTCACCTCGGAAAAGGTTGATTGATATAATATTACTTAATATGTAACGGTGATAACATTGCGTTAGAATCTGTTCGCCATTGCACAATGGTTTCAATACAATTCGTATACAATAATCATTATCGTTTCAGAACAAAGCCGTCGCGACGATTTGGAGTCCCTGGGCCACATGTACATGTACTTGGCGCGAGGCTCTTTGCCTTGGCAAGGGCTAAAAGTACAAAACGCAAAGGAACGATTTCAAAGAATCGGCGATATGAAAAAAAGCATAACGATTGATAGCCTTTGTGAGGGTTACCCTGGTAAACATTTTTAATATAACATACATCATAAATAGCAGAAATATTATACACATATTATAATAATAAATGATGTAGTATAATATGTTAAATATATTCTACATAATACCTACTGCCTACTCATTTAAATGAGTCGAAAAAACACATTGCTGACTATGTTTATTACATAATGCAATGCTTCACTTTTAAGCCCTAAGCTCCCAAACGGTTGAGGAAAAAATGATTTGTTATGTCTTCTCAATGATTTAATCATTCATTTCGGTTGGATTTCCTATCAATTCGAAAATATGATTTTAAAATGTTAAATAGACTTTAGGGCTAGCACGTCAAATTTAAATTTTCCCTTTCGGAATACTTTTCGTATCACTGTTATAATATACATCCATCGCAACCTACAATGGGAACATAATGGTACTAAAAGTTATAAACAGAGACGGGAAGTAACCGCTTCCAAATCCTCTCAAGTATTTTGTAACATATTGAAATTGATTGTGTATTGTTAGAAATGGCAGAGTACATGAAATATGTCAGACATCTCGAATTTTACGAGGAACCCAATTACAGTTTTCTCCAACATATTTTTACCACCGCCCTTCATAAAAACGGATTTGAAGACGATCAAATATTCGATTGGATTGGGAAATAAAAACGGTGCCTAGTTATTTATTTTTTTATTATACATATAGGTATACAATGAAAAATATGACGTATTATTAATTTAAAATGCCATATCGTTTTTCAGACAAAAAACCTAATTTTCACAAACATATAATAATATAACTATAAAAAAAATTATTATTGTTTTACTCGCAATATTTTGTGGAATTGAAGAAGCTACTCATTGTGCTACAGATATATTAAACGTATTTGTTTTACTGCATAAATACTTTTGACTGCAATACGTTGAAATAATTTAATATATTGTGTAAATGATAAATAGAGAATAATATAATTAATGTATGCATTCATGAAAATGTTTGTTCTAGAGAATCACTTGACGTATTATAGCAGTGGAAATAAATAAATATATTTATAATATTTCAATGTATAAATGTACAATATTTTCTATTGTAATTTACTATCTGTCACATATTTATTAAAAATAATAATAACTGTATAAAGTTTATATTATAAGTATACCCTAGCATAATATTATACTATTATATTTGAGGCAAATTATTATTTTCAATTTCAACTTTTATAAAAGGTATATATAAGTAGTACTATTGTTTATTATGGTATTATAATAATCAGACGTTTATAATTTACTTTTAGATTGCATTAATATTTTTAGTTTTTAATTATTCGTTAAAACATAATTCTTTGCATTACAAAATCCTATATCAAATATAAAATATTATATATATAGATAGGGATATCATATTAATTGATTTATTGTGTAACCATAACTTATGTTTTAATCATTTTTTTATAATTACCATTTTTATTATAGTAACCAGGCGTTAACACAGTTTATGGGCATATCGTTGTTAAAAGATAGATGATAATTTATGTCTACCAAAATTGCACGCATTAAATTTAAAAAAAGTCTAAAGGTGTGTGATTGTAAAACTTTTGTAATTAAATTCAGTAGATGATATAACGAATAACATTAAATAATTTGCTGAAATAAAACTATTATCTAATATCATGATAAATGATTAAATAATAAATTAAAAGGAACATCATTAAATTTACAGAGTTCGTTGTAATCAGTTTGTTATTATTTCCTATACTTTTACTAATAAGTAATACCGTTCTATTATATTAAACGAGTTATGATTATCAATATACCTATCGCATTAAGTAGTTGTTTATATACAAATATTTTCAGTTTTATAAGATTGCACAATTTATATGACGAAGGAACGTATTTATTATTTGGGATATAATACATTAAACCTATTTCAATATTATTATTATTATTATTAATATTATTCAATCGTATGAAATCATTAAACTAAAATTTATTGCAGTTTTACCTTTTTTATTCTTTTATTTCGGTTAGGTGAAACTTTGATAAACCGCATCGCAATAACATAACACATCGATTTTTTCTTTCCTCGTTCTAGGTTTCCTCTAAACATATAAGTGTAGAACACCTTATTTCCCCGTTGAGTTCGTTCGCCCATCAGTTACCAGTGCGTATGTACAAATAGTTACGATTTTATAACCGCGGTTCAATTCAAAGTAAATTCATATACTAGCCAGCATTAATTAATATCAAAATATAAGTGCTTAATGTAGATTCGAATAGTAAAAAAAAAAGAAACAAAAATAATATTAAATTTATCCAAAAATAGAACCAGGGATAGAGAATTCAAAGAGTGAGCTTTCCAAACTTGTTTTATTTCCATTTGCTTAACAAAATAAGGAAAGTGCAGTTTCGTTTTTCAATATATTTATTTAAATCTAAATGATAATAAAAAAATAATTAATTTTTTATAAAGGGTATAATAAAAATGGAAGTACCTACCTAAGTATTTTTTCTCATTTTGGATTTTAATAAGTGTAGTTTAGAATATTATATTGGCTTATCAACAATGGGGTTTTATTTTTTTCTAGATTTCTCACGCTCCTAAAGTTTCACTTTGGCCTATTTATTTACTGAAAATGTTAGGTAGCGTTACTTTAAAGATATTATTTTATTATTTTTTATTAATTTATCATTAGTTGTTCTGAGCACTAAGAAAAATATTCAATAAAATTGGAACCTAATGGTAAATTACAATTGTTTATTTTAACCTTTTTTTAAACCAAATTATTTTAAGTAATTTCATAGTTATTCAAAAACTAATGCCCCTAAACATTTTAAATGCACACAAATTATTTATTTGACAAGGTTGACTTAAATACTTCCAAACAAAATTATACCAATTCAAACAAACTACTATTTAGCTTAAAGTCCTCTGTTGTAAACTTTTATAATTTTTATTTTTATACACCGAAAATTTAACCAAAAAAGATTGTATTAGTCTTTGGCCCATTTCACTATTAGACCGTCCTTTACATTATGTACCTTTTTAAATTTTAAATATCTATGATTATAAATAAACAATCTTTAAGGCAATAAGTGCTTTGTGTGTACTATATATTAATAAAAAAAAGTAGCATTTACCGTCGAAGTCCTAGTACCTTTATCGCCCTTTATTCATTATGGAGGGCTTTTTTTAATTCAAGAACACTTGGTTAAAATGTTCTCTTTTCCATACACACTTATTGTACTAAAAAATAATAACTATGAAGAGCTTTAAAAACAAAAAATTACCGTTGTTTCACGCGTGACAGTCAACAATTCAACATATTCTGAAAAGTTATTTGTTTGAAACAATCATAAACTACAATGAAGTCTATTACAAATTATGCAAAAAAATATATACAAGTACGTTATGCGTTGTTTGTTTATTAAAATAAACGTTTGTTTTGATTATTTATTTTTCAAAATGATTTGATAACCTAAAGGTATGACGTAGGCATGCATTGACGTCAAAATATGATGTCTGTAAATCGATAGATATATACAATATATCAACACATATTATTATGTTTACCAATATTAGTAATATTAGTAATAACTATAAAATGAGTTTTAATTTTATCGTATAGCCCCGTAGACCACAGTTGCATTATGTTAACGGTTCAATTTCAATTTTTACTGCTCCAATAATTGTGCAAATATTTATATGATATATTTTATACACCTGAGTATATTATTATAATATTGTATTTACTTTCTGATTTTTAACCACAAGTCGTCGTATTTTACAAAATTTTAAATAATATTTCTCTGCTGCAGAATACCACATTAATGTACCTATAGGTACTATTACATGCAGAAAATCGAAATGATGAAACTCGTTAGAAAATGTTTCCATATTGACCGTGATTACCGACTATACCTATATTATAAAACGCCGATTTGGTTTGTATTATTGTTGTTATTTTAATAGACGTTTTTAAATACCTTACATATTATTATTCACTTAATTAAAATGCTTTAATGAAATTGAATTCGTTTGCGAACACTCAATGGCACTTGAAACACGTCCGTGCCATAGTCGGAAGATAAAGTAAATGTTATTTTAATAGTGGTAGGCGAAACAAAACTGCTGTACAAGGTTCCAAATGCAATATTCAAGTAACGATTTGAATAAACACGACAGAGGATAATTTATTACCTCGTCCACTTGTAACTTAAATAACGGAAACTACTTTTAAGCTGCAGCGACCAGCGACGACGGAACAATAACGACCACGAAAAATATGCATATTATATTATAGCTGATATGAGAACACCTTAATAAGTACTTACCCGTTTGCAGTCGAGACTTGTTATTTAGATTTGTGTTTCAATACGCACTGTTGTTAATTAGATATTTATACAACAGTCAACAATCGAAAATGTTCAGTAACCGCGGCGTCGAACGCGATGATTAATAGTAGAAAATAATATGCTGTTTTACGACAATAATAATATAATATAACTATACGAGTATAATGATATGCACAACATTATTATCCTTCTACCAATATGAACATAAGTTCTGCAGATAATTTTAGTATGTAAATATTTATAAACATTGTTCAAAACAAAATTAAAATAATAATATTACGTAAAATACCCGACACCACTCATCTGCAGATATTTTAAATGGTATATACTTAATGATAGTGACCTACCGAATTTGTTTGTTTACAATTTTCGTATTATTATTTTTTTTCCCCATGTTTGAAGATTTTTGCAAAAAAAAACCATGATGTTTTTACAAAATCATAAAATATAATAAACATTATATGTATATTTAAGTGTCAAATAACACTTGTATCTAATTATTTTCATTATTAGTACTATGTCATATTTTATTACTTTTATTATTACATTATTATTATTGTTATCATTATATCAATTGTAACCATTGTCTTTACATTTCTATGCTTATTTAAGTTCAACCGATCATTGTACATTTTTGTGATGGTTTTTGTTAACTATTGTTTAATAACATCAAAACATTTTATTTTTTAATAACACTGAGTTTAGACAACCATATCGGGAAAACTTTATTTCTTTTAAAAGAAACACACACACAATAAATTCCATAACGAACAAAAATGTATTAGAGCATTGAAATAAGCTTACTAATTTACAATAAATGATAAAACCATATTTACTACTTGATTATTGATTGATTGACGAATGACCCACCTAATACCTATATTAGTGTCTTAAATATGTACATGCCATGATATACAAAGTAAATTAAAATATCTAATTACCAAAAATACATATATTAAAATAAAGTTAAATGTTTAAGAGACCTTTATGATAGAGAATGTACGCAAATAGTGTACTATCATCTATATAGTGTAGTATATAAAAGGTAAACATTTTGTATAAATACATAATAATATACCTAGGTGCAGACGTGCGGTAGATAGTAGAGCTAAAAAAATTAGTACTTAGATAGAATTATTTACTATTCATATTTCACATTAGGTATCGTATTATGTAAATTTTATATTATTATTGTGTTACGCTTAGGCATATTACGGATGTCCTTTATACTTTTACTAATTTATTGGTATAGCAATTAATTCATGGTTAGTATTTTATTCTAATATTTAAAACGTATAAAACTCCCTTATTGTGTCGAATAAAGTTTAAATATCTACCAAAATAATGAAATTAGATGATTTCACAAATAAATAAATAAGGAGACAGGTATACTTACCCAATCTATAATATTATACTGTGTTACTGCTAAGTAAATGATAAAAAAACGATTGTAGTAATACATATTTAGGAATCAATGTAAAACACAATATTATGCAATCAATTAAAAATTGCTTAATAGTTATCAAAAGTCATCATTGCTTAATTAGCGAAATATTTGATGAATATATAAAAATAATATCATATTTTTTTTATAATAGAAAAACAAAACATAAAAAAATTCTTATTACATAAACCTGAAACTAGTATACAGGTCAAAAAAAAAAATTTATATAGGCCGAAAAATCTTCAATTACGTCATAATAACGTTCAATAAGATGAAGTCA